GCAAAGAAGATTTTCACAGAAATAATGCATTTTCACTATAAAATCACTATTAAATCAATAGAACCCCCTCCCGCAGTACCCCTCGCCCGGGGGGGAGGGGGTCTCAAACTTCACAATTTTGAAAGAGGCACCCTTGAATTGAAGTGATATCACTTATTCGAATAGGTGATATCACCTTTTCGAGATGAATAGATGATATCACCTATTCGAATAATTGATATAACCTATTCGAATAGGTGATATCACCTATTCAATTGGAATGAGTGATATCACAAATTGGAATAGGTGATATCACCTAATTGCAATTCTTACATTATAAAATAATGAATGCTCCCTTCCTCAAGACTATCTAGTTTTCCATTGGCCCCAAGAAAATTTGGGCTGCCCAGTTAATCCTAAACATTTTAAAGACTTTATGTTATCGATCCCTGTAAAGATATATAAATTGCACTCGCAGATTAGTTTTGCAAAATTTATTGATAGTTTCTGAGTTCTCTCAGTTATGATTATTCGTGTTCAAAAAGAATGAATTGTATAAATCTTGTCACCTGACTCACGAGATTTTTCGATAACATTAACAAATTATAAACTAAAGTGAAAGTAAACGAGGCTTTCAGAGTCTCTAGTCTTGAGAGGAGTTTTATTTCATAAATAATTTGAATAGATGATATCACCTTTTCGATTAAGTGATATCACCATTTCAATATGATAAGGTGATATGACCTATTCGAATAGGTGATATCACCAATTCAGAAGCTGAGTAGGTGATATCACTTATTCGAATAGGTGATACTGGTATCACCAATTGAATAGGTGATATCACTTATTCGATTAGGTGATATCACCTATTTGAATAGGTGATATCACTTTATGGCAGTAAATACCGAAACGGCGCCTCAGAGAGGAAACTGAAAATAATGGAATGTTTGCGACGGACAAAACAAATAGCAATAAATTAAATGAACTTAATACAACATTGAGTACTCCGAGACCGGTCCTTTGGCTGAGACCGTATTTATAAACCGAGGTCCCGTGTCGTAGAAGATGCTGGCACGAAAAAAGATCCCTCACTGTTCAATGGCCCTGAGTGCCGAGTATACGTCAAAATTTGCAGCTCTCACCGCCAATTGGTGGCGTCTCCATATGAGTGAAAAATTCTGGAAAGGGACGTTAATCAAAGAACACACAAACAAACACATTAAGTAAATTCGTTATAAATGAACCCCCCCCCCCCCCAACCGAACAAGCATCCACATAGGAACACTAACTTTATCGGATCTTTTTTTTTTTTTTTTTTAGATTTTGGAACCTCGGAATCTCTCTCTCTCTCTCTCTGTATTACAAACTCAAAGCACGATTAGAAAGGATATACACTTCTTTCATGAGTCTATAGTTATTATTTATATTTAAGGTATCTTCAACCCCATGTGACGTAATAGGTTTTGAGCTTCGTGGATAATAAGACTGATTCTCATTAAAAAAAAATTGCTTTCATTTGGTGTATTAGAAATATTGTAAAAATATCTTTCAATAGTATATTTCTTTTACAGTTTGTCAATAGTAAAGAAAAAAGTTTGGCAAGGGCAATTACTTCTACTTATGTTTTTTTTTCATACATGTTTATAGTTATACTTCTAATTGAAAATTTCCCTGCTACTAGTATTAAGAATTTAAATATATTTATAAAATAATAGTTAAAATTTAATATAATGATTATTTCGTAAATTCAAGCCGTTTTTAAGCATCTTTATTAAGGTTGTTTACCGAAATGTTCCATATTTACATTTTTATATATATGCTTATATTTTAATTTATGTCTGACATCTTTAAAAAAAATGTTGCCTATGTATTTTATAATATCAAACAAAAGTTTAAAAAAAAATATTTCTACTTTAAAAAAAGGTTTTGGATTTTCCTTTATTAAATATAGATATTATTTCTACATATTTATGGAGGATGAATTCTAAAATTAGAAGAACATTTCGTTTTAAATTATATATATTGATATCTTCCATATATTGGATATCATCTTCAACTTTTTTAAAATCCCCTGCCCCTCCCCCTTTTTTGAAATTGCCGGATTCGTATAAAAAATGGTGAACAACCTATCAACCCGAATTACTTACCACGCACATGTACATGTATTCAGTTTATTTCTAGTTGACAGATTTTTTAATTTTTATGAAATAATATTTTTCTGAAATGACCATAAATGAACATGAAATTTCAAAAATGGACAACATTACAATTATTGAAATATGTATCAAAATATTAAACAAAGTGACAATCACTTTTCTCAATGATAACTAAAACATGTACGTCATATTGCAATGCTGTGAGGAATTTTAATTTCAATAGAGATTGGTTCATAGTAGTTCATTCATTGATGGAATCATAGGAGTTCATTCATTGATTCATTGTCTAGTATTCCCTTTAGGTGTTTAGTGATGCCTTTAGAGTTAAAGAAAAAGGTTTACAGAACTGAAAAAATATATTATATAACATATCCACCGCAATAAAAATATTAAAAGTTGTAATATCAAGGAAGCTATGAGACTAGTGTTTTAAAATGTTCTTGTGTATATTAATTAAAATGTCTCCAAGCCCGATGTTTATTCACTTAGTATTACATGTGGTAGCTAAACACAGTTTCGTATAAAATCCAGTGGGTCTTCCCAGAGGGAAGAATAATGGGAAGGGATTTGCCTGCTATTCGATGTCCCCGAACCCGATGTTTATTCATATAGTATTATATAGTAGGCCTAAAAACTGGAGTTCTATATCTCGGAAACTAGAGATGGTACCATCACCATTTTTTCATACAAGTGGTAACTGACCACTAGTAGCCTACCCTCAAAATTTCAGACCCCGGGGCAGGGGACTTCGATGTCCCCGAACCCGATGTTTATTCATATAGTATTATATAGTAGGCCTAAAAACTGGAGTTCTATATCTCGGAAACTAGAGATGGTACCATCACCATTTTTTCATACAAGTGGTAACTGACCACTAGTAGCCTACCCTCAAAATTTCAGACCCCGGGGCAGGGGACTTCGATGTCCCCGAACCCGATGTTTATTCATATAGTATTATATAGTAGGCCTAAAAACTGGAGTTCTATATCTCGGAAACTAGAGATGGTACCATCACCATTTTTTCATACAAGTGGTAACTGACCACTAGTAGCCTACCCTCAAAATTTCAGACCCCATGACTTATGTTTAAATTTTGAATTGCGAACTGCGTTCTGGAATGCAGTTCACTTTTGAATTGCGAATTGCGAACTGCGTTCCAAAATCTGATTGCCTAGTTTTATATCATAATTCGAACGCCTACGTGTATTTGTTGTAGCATTTGGATTTTGCAAAATTATATGTATGAAATAAATTCTAATTATGTAATAAGCTTAAATTGAGTAATTATTTCTTTTTAAAAAAATGGTTTCTTTAAAGTATGAAAAAAAGTGTATCCTTCTGTTTACAAATTCCATTGTGTATTTAATGTATAAATAATTTCTAGCAGATAATTTCATATACAAGTCGTAAGTTAAGCAGAAAAAAGATCAGTTAAACCTGCCAAATTAAAAATGTATGCTTATATTTTATCGGTCTCCAGTACGAAAAAAGAGGGGTTTTAGGTGTCAGTTAATCATAAAACGTAGTACACTTCGAACACAATGACCTACATAGCTGTAATGGTGAAACAGGGATGAAGTATACGATTAATTTAATTAAATCGATATTATATATATACATATATACATACATATATATATATATATATATATATATATATATATATATATATATATATATATATATATATATATATATATATATATATATATGTTTTATGAATATCTATACAGTCTTTGCTTGAGGACTTTAGATATGATAGCATTATTCAAACTCAAGAATGACATAATCTCATTAAGCCCTGATATTAAAATGATTATCTATATATTTGACCACACCAGCAAACCAATATTGTTATATTCCTCTGGGGCTACTTTAATACAAAGAAACTTACTGATTCTAGCTGTACCATAGAAAAAATTTAATCAAATTTATTATGTGAAAAACTCCACCTTAAATTCTGCAAATCAATTCTAGGAGTACATAAATCTGCAACAAATTTTGCTGTGTTGTCTGAAATGGGAAGATTTCCTCTGCACTTTGACATGTTAAAAAGCAGGTTAAGTTACTGGCAAAGACTCGATAATCTTGGCTAATCATTTAATGCATATTTTGAATCAAATTTACTTTTTAAGCAAAACACATCCTCATGGTATGGCTCAATCAACTTTTTTCTTTCTAATATCATTGGAATTAAAGATTTGTCTTCGGTAAAAACATATAAAATTAAAACTTGTCATTAAAAATTCCTTTTTTCAAACATTACATTAAAGAATGGCATTTTCACCTCGGGCATTTTTAAGATCCTGTTTTTCAGATATACTGTGGTCGAATTTTCTCTAACCTGGCTTAGTGTAGTAACCCTTGGACTTCCGGTCAATGAACTGTCATTCATGCTTATGAAATGCATGAGCCTGATGAGTCGTTATGTAGTGCATATTTGCATCTGCAACTCGATCCCTTTTTATTTTTATTTTGAGAATTTCCAGCAAGAGCAATGAAAACGCGTGCTTTCAGTCATTTTGAGAAAATATTGGCATCACATAGGGAAAAGAAAGAAGGATTTTTTTTTCAGGAATATTAGTGCAATACTTATGATTAACAACTACAAACCCTTGAAAACCCAAATTATTTGTCAAATGTTTTATTAAACATGCATTTTTTTTATCTCTGTTTAGAGGGCTCATGATCAACTTCCGGTAATGGAATGAAAATCATTCAACCGTTAAATTACTGATTTGGCAAAGTTGAACATGTCCTAACTTTTTAAATACAAAGTTATAACCTGTATATAATTTTCCCCTAGAATTAGGATGTTGCGTTTCTTTTGCGTTTCAGTATATATAATAAAGTTAATCGATGAACTTAAACGAAAAAGTTTATTTCATTTTTTAATACATTTATGAATTCATTTTCCATGTCCATGACATGTAGCATGACAAGTGTCCCTCGCCAGCTGACAAGTGTTCTGGCACGTGTCGAACGCGTGGCCGTGTGCATGTGAGTCACGACATCCTTGGACGCAACCATTGTATGTTGCGTCACATGTATCCGTGCAACTATTGGCATAAGCACCGACTGCTAAACAGACAACCAACAGGAGAAGCAAAGACTTCATTGTAAACTGAAAAAGATGATAATAATACCAGAGTTTCTATGTCAATCAAATTTTCTTCTCATCTTTTAGCGTGAGAACAAACCCCGTTCGTTGTACAATTACAGCAGTCAAAGATCGAGATTATTTAATAAAACTTGTGTGAACAGAATACGCGAGGTACAAATTATAGCTTAATTAATTTGCTCTATAACTAGTATATTTAACAATTAAGATCTGCGAACCAGGGATGGGGTAGTCGTAATCGTAATCGATTGTAATGATTGCTTCTTTTTTTTTTCAAGTAATCGACAGTAGTCTGTAATCGAAGAGATTTTCGATTACAGCTAAAATTTCCAATGTAATTATAATTACTTTTTCGATTATTTTATACATAAATGGATGTTATTTTGGAGAATTATTTCCAGTCAGTCAATATAAATGTTTGGATTTCCTAACTTTTATTATCATAAGTTTAATAATGTTCTCAATAAAATTGCTTATAGACCTACTGGTCTAGTATTAAATAATTCAGAAGTGTATTTCAACCATTTATTAATAAAATATACAGATTTTTCGTGTGCATTTTACATTTGACCCACTGTCCTCTTGCTGCATGTCCTTTTTCATATTTCAGATGTTGAAAAACTTTGTCTTGTAATAGAAAATTATAAATAGCAAAAACAGATTTAAGTGGTGTATCAAATATAAATAATTTGGTAAATTAACTACATTGTACTCGAAAAAAAAGTTAAGGGTGTCCCATATTTTCTCAAAAAAAAAAAAAAATGGCGCTGGTGTAGTTCTAACCCCAACGTAACTCGAAGTGTTCGAAAATTTTAATTCATGGAAAATAAATAAGATTGCACATGGCAATGAAACTCAGATTGATTTACTTTTTTTTTTTTTTTTTTTTTTTTTTTTTTTTGAGTCGAAAGTCAAAGGCAGTAATGAATTTTGGATCGCCAAAGATGAAATAATATGAAAATAAGTCCGAGGGAAGACTTTTGTACGTTTCATTCGTAAACAGTAAGAGTCCTAATACTCAAGATACATTTGTGGAAAACTGCATTGTTACACTTCAGTTTTATATTGAATATCTTTTATTTAATATAGTGGAGAGCTATATAATAGACCGAAATCCAGCTACCGTTATATAAATAAAAATCTTTTATGGATGTCTATGATTACATAATGTTTAATCATAATATGAAGAGCTGAAAAAAAGTGACAAAGACTGGAGCCAAATAAGTCGAAGGAACAGAGCTTTGCATACTTAATAATTCTTAATTTTGAAATAAATTTCTAAATTTTACCAGAGCAATTAAATATATATCCGTATTTTTAAACAAATACAATTCATTCCACATGTACACCCTTTTCACAAATTGTTAGGAACATAACTTACGGATTTAACCTTCATGTTCTTATATTACGTAACGATGACCTGTCATGTCTATTTGAACAAAATTGATTTTCAAATGTTTATATATTATACAACATCATTACTACATATATTGTATAACAATTTTATTATTTTATTGTATACTGACGGGCTGCACTGTTATATTCTAAATAAACTATCTAAAAAATTTAATGCCCCCCCGCCCCAAGTCAGCGCTCATTGTCACCAACAATGCATGGATAGTCTCTGGTCATTTTAAAGAAATCATACTCACATCGACAAGCAAGATAGTGAAATTGTCTCACCTTCTGTCCGAAATAGAATGGTCTGTTTAATTTTTCTCTCCGCCACTTATATACAGATATTGTACAAGGTTATAGTGCCAGATCCAATACAAGGCCAATGACATGTTCGTGAATACAGTATCAGATATTTCCTCCTAGTCGTACAGAATCTACAAGATAACATAAACTATTAATACATGTTGAACATGGTCCTAGCTAGATCATACATTTGACCAATTTATAAAGTTCTCACTGACCTAAACTTTTGATAATTTATAAATATATTATTTTTTAAACACTATACCCCTCCCTCGAATATATATTTTAAAAAACTTGTTAATGTTAAGGAATACATGAAAGAGAGGTTCTTAAACCAAAAAAATCACGTAAGTATTAAAAAAAGGGGGACGGGTGTACAGAATCTTACGTTTACATTTTGCATTTTGTGGGTGGTTTTTGGGAAAATATGTTTTATGCAGGACACATTTCGCACCATTTTTTTAAGCTATCTTTGTCCCTGGGAACTACATTTTCAATAAGTAACCAATAAGAAACCAAAGGATCACATCGCTCACCTGAGCAAATTGGCACATGTACGGTAGCCATTTACAATATCTTAATTACATGGAAACTTTAAAGAATATGATCAACATTTGTTTCTAACGAGTAATGAATATATATATATATATATATATATATATATATATATATATATATATATATATATATATATATATATATATATATATATATATATATATATATATATATATATATATATATATATATATAAGGAATGAATTTAATAGCTACCCCGTTATACTGTATAACCTTCGTTAGGGCAGTTTACGCTTTATAAACCTTTATAAAAAAGCGTTAAATGTTCCAACCCAGGTTTAACTTGGGTAGCTATTAAATTCATTCCTTATAATTTAATTTTCCATTTAAGTGTAGAAAAAAAGACAATTTCTCCTTCAAAAATGCTCTGATACGTTTTTCACGTAAGTCATTATGACGTAGGCAACATAGGTTATACGATATAAACTAATTTTTTATGTTGCAGTTTACCTGTGTATAATATTTCATATGTACCCACCCAGCTTCCTTAAAATCGCTTTCCTTTTTTGTGAGGATAATTTTTTTTTTCACCGGATTCATCAGAAAATTTTTTTTTTTAAGGGGATGAAGGACACATGGTCACATGACTCTGTTTAATTACGTCATAGTCTCCGTTTATATAAGTGCAAAACGTGTAAAGCATCAGTTCTTGTATAATTTTTTGACAATTTTTTAACATTAATTACCATCTTATATAAGAAAAAAAAAGTTTTAACATTCTTGTAAACATTAACAAATTATGAAAAAGATTGATCCACTCCTCTGTTTCCCTAAACTGCGCGTCCAACAAGTCGGTGACGTCATACACGATCTGTTAGTACAGCAAGATCATACTCGTTGAACAGAGGGGCGGTATTATTATGTAAAAACAGGTCATAATCAGTATATGATGAAATATTTTGAGAATTGGGGAACACAAAAATTATTTTTGCATGGCTGCTGACGGAAATCTTATGTAGGTATATCTTATTTCGCTTATTTAGCTTACGTGTGACGTCATACTTGGTTTTTCCCGTACTCGAGAAATGTAACATGACACGTTTTTGTCACGCTTATATCCTCTTTAACGATGTCCTGTGAAATAATGAGGTCAGCTTCATCATTCGAAACTTCTACAGTTAAACAATAATTTGAAGGATTTGTATTTCAACGTAAATTAAAAAATATTGAATGATAGAATTTTTTGAAAATTACGTTTTTTATTGTTTAAGTTGTCTTAAAAAGTGCGTAATTTTCCCTATCCAGATGCAATGTGATACACAAAACTTGCTTTTTCGAATTTTAAATCCTAGGTATACTCTGAAATATTTTAAAAGATACATGTCCACTTCGATATTTTTTGTATGCTTAAAAAATCCCATTATGGACAGAGTAATGCGCCCGGAAACATTGAGAATTCAAACTCCACTTAGATACTGTAGGGCATAGTATTTGTCAATCAATATCTCCAAAATAAGGTTAGAAACCTAATGATATAACTGCTTTAAGATATGTGGGACATACTTAATTAGAAATATACAAAATATGAAAAAAATTGAATGACAAGTATTTTTTCAGCTCAAGGTCCTTCTCTTCCTTAAATGGCTGTGATTGAAAATACCCAAATATCAACTCTTGCATAACATTGTACTCTGTAATATATATATATATATATATATATATATATATATATATATATATATATATATATATATATATATATATATAATTTAAACAATATAACCTACTGCACGCCTCTTGTCATACAAAGCAGTTTCTATGAAAATCTTATCTTTGCGTTAAATCCATAACACTGACCTTACTGTCAGTTATATATAAAACTAAGTTTCATGTGGCAACTGCATGTATATCAGACAAACGGTCAAATAGAGTATACACTTTCTAACATTTTACATTACTTGTTTTAAGGTTTATATTATTATTTATTTATTTTTACAGTGTTATTCGACTCAATTTTTTGTTTTTTGTTTTTTTATATGCAGAACACTATGCTTCTGATCGTCCTTTCTTGCCTGGTTGCAGTTGTTTTCGGGTAAGTAAGCCAAAGAAATACAGACCGCATTACAAAATTTCACCTTTTTCATAAATTAATTTGTTTTTATTAACTTTATTTTTAAAAATGTCAAGAGATATAAAAACCGTTTCGTTAAAATAATAATAAATAACAAACAAACAACATCAAATCACATTTATTTAATCAAGGAGATTTTTTAAAAATATTTTCCCCATTATCAGTTTCCCTTATATTTCTAGCTATCGAACGGTGTAAAGAAAGTCAGTACAAAGAGTGTGTACATATAATTAAATACTGGTTGATGAATAGAAAAATCGTTTATATCATATAACTTGTGTTGCCTACGCCACTAAATTGCATCAAAACATATCAATTTGCAATAAGCCGATGGTAGAGAGTGGTACCGGTATAACCTGATTTCACTGTTGGAACAGTTCACGGTTTTTTTAATATACCGCTTCGCCGGTGTATAAAGCGTAAACGGTAAAGTGCTCCAACCAAGGTTTTTCAGTATAACTTTGGTAGCTATTAATTAAATTAATTCATTTCTTAAATAAATGCATGTTTATTCCCTTATGAGGGCAAATTACGTCAATAACGATTGTCAATGATATCTTCATTACATTTTCATAATGTGACGACTCATTATTGGATAAACACTACATTATCATAAGTTCTTTTACCTCCACCACCCACCATGCCAAAAAATAAACAATCAAACACCTTTATCATTATTGGAAGTGTTTAATCAAATGTTTCTACACCAATAGTTCCGTGGTATTGAGCTTCTGCTGTGGTTCGATTTTTTTTTAACTCTATAGAATGAATGATTTTGCTGTAGAGGATACTTAATATTCTACAAGACATATTTCCCTACATACAATAGTTACTTTTCATAGACAACACCAACATCATCTGAACACCCATGAACTCCAGCAGTTAGTAGACAGTGGATTCCTAACCCTCGACGTAAATCCAAAGGATGGACTGCTAGAATATGCCGAACTTTCTAAGCTCTTTGACCAAAGGGACACAGACGGTGAGATTTATCACTTTTTTCCGTTTTCTAAAAAACATTTAGAGAAGAATATAAATAACGTGTTTATATAATCAAAAAAATATTTTGACCACCACATGTGACGTGCAAAATCGACGAGAATTGATCGGTCGTCCTAAAAGTTCGCTATACGTTGTACTCCAGTAATTCTTTTTTCAAAAAGTTTCATGTACATTATCTGTTATAAAATAAATATTTATTTGAATAAGTCGCTACACTAATACTACAACCAAATTTCGTCTAAGGAGGAACACCTCTTCTTTTATAGGTTTAATTCTTTATTCTAAGGGGAAAAAATCATAAAGAGAATAATTTCTATTGAAGTTGTGCATACTTAGTATGATGATTTAATAAGTCTAAAAATTGGTGAAGTCTTAATTTAGTTTTTTAATGTTCAGGTGATGGAAACTTATCAAAGGCAGAATTCGAGGCTCATGTAGGACTAGACTTTCTTTTTAAAGATCCACTCTTCAATCTCTTTGACACTGACAAGAATGGACTTCTCAGCAAGGCCGAGTTTGTGGACAAGGCTTACCATGATGCAAACAATAACGGTAATAAATAGATTAATTATGTTTTTACTTATTTTTATTATTTTTTTTTGTTATATTTTAGTATCCTTGTCACGTTGGTTACATTTCTCGGCATACAGGAACATCCTCTGACAGCCTTGCCCCTTCTCCCACAGGGAACACGGACAATTGCTTTTCTTAATGCATTTCTCGGGGTTTCGGTACAAGAAACTTCCATATGTCACTTCGATATTTTGCCAAACTTTTTATGTAACTTTATTCACAGGTGATGGACAGGTAACACGACATGAATTTGACCATTATTACTCCCAGGTGAGTTACAGTGTTAGAGCAAACATTATTACTACAGTACTATAATTCATGTACAAAATATACAAGATGTATAGTATATATTATTTGACAAAAAAAGCAATCCGTGTCTTTAGGTTTTGTTATATTGAATAGGTTAGATTCGGCATTTAATCAGGATAAGATGAATTTTAAATATATAATAATTATAAATTTTATAATTAAGATGAATATTTTTACAGCTTCTTCATCATCTCAACACACACCATGGTTGATTTCACGTTCTTTGCGGAACTTTGATGTTTTCATACATTTTGAATAAACGATCGGAACACACTGTGCTGTACTTTATCTTAGTTTGAAGTTTAGATTTATAATCCAGCTCGGAAACCTCAGCTGTTACTACACAATTGTCTCAAATCCCACTGCGGGACATGGAAACCGGTTCTTTGGATGAGATCGTATAAACCGAGGTCCTATGTCGCAGTTGGTGCTTGCACGAAAAAGATATCCCACTGTTCAGTGGTTTAAATTTGCCGCCCTCCACCGACAATGGGTGGCGAATGTGAGTGAAAAATCTCGAAAGGGACGTTAAACAAACAAACAATCGCATTTGTCTACCTGACTTTTCTTAGTTACAGAAGGACCCCTATAAGTTTAACAAAGTAGTAAATAAAACAAAAATCACTTGATAAGCCTTTAATTATTGTTTATTCTCTCTCTCTCTCTCTCTCTCTCTCTCTCTCTCTCTCTCTCTCTCTCTCTCGATCGATCGATCGATCGATCGATTACATACCATTTTCAAATCGGTGTAAAATAGAAAGTTATTCACAAAAATAAATTTTGATCTTAGTGGTAGTGTAAAACGGAGTTCTGAATCCGGATGCATAAACCACACATTCAAGACCCAGAATACTTTAAGGAGCATAGACCGACAGACAGACAGACAGACAGAACAGACGCAAGGCAAAAAAGGACAGGGCAAAAACTTTATGCCCCCGAATCTTTGTTTACGGGGCATAATAAACATTATAATACATCACCATACAATATTTTAGACTGTAACATGCATTCAAGGAGAATATAGTTATTTATTACAAAAAAAAATCTGAAGTAAACAAATTTATTTTGAAGCGATCGGAGTGTCATACGTGTATAAGGTTATACACTGTTTGAAAGTTTAGTCAGAATGAAATATATGGAGATAACGAACAGTATTCAAGCTCAAAAGTCCATTAAACGATACAAAATAGGAGCAGAGCAAACACGGACCTCCAAACATCAGAGGTGGGATCAGGTGCCATGGAGGAGTGAGCATCCCCTGCCGACCGATCACACCCGCCGTGTGATCCTTGCCATGATCGGGAAATAACAGAAAAATCCGTCGACAATTCAGTGTGTAAATAATGGCCTAACAATTAGTATGAAAAACGTCAGTCAGCATTTGGCTCAATGATACATTGTATTTGCTGACAAGGTCATTGTATCGATCATAGAACTTACGAAATGATGACTTTAAACGAGACAGCTGATATTCTTGTTTCATCCACTTGTTTGTGAATAAATTACCTCGTTTTAGAAATTGTACATATGTAGAGCATGCTCTTGCGTATCGAATCAATTGAGAGATATATACCCCGTCTGCAGGTGATAAAGGTATATTGCTGCATAAGTAAGGGAAGTTGACGACTGAAAAGTTAAAGTCACCACGTTTATCATAAAGCTTGGTTGTTAGATTACCATTAACGTCTTTTTCAAGTAAAATATCCAAATATGAAACAGATGTGTCAGACTCAGTGGTATCTTTTATCTCAAGTTCACCAGGATATATCGTATCGACATAAGAATGGAAATAGCCATTGCTAATTGACAATACATCGTCGATATGTCTAAATGTCGAGTTGAAGGCCACAGCAAGTGTTTTCTTCTTTTCACGTACAAGATTTTGGACAAATTCTGCTTCATATGAATACAAAAAAGGTTTGCTAATAACGGGGCGCAATTGGTACCCATGGGAATTCCAATAGATTGTTGGAAGACCTGGTCTCCAAAAACCACATAGATACTGTCAATCAGAAACTCAAGCATGTTTTTAATGTCAACTTCAGAGTACTTGTGTGTACAATCAGAATGTTTTTTAACAAAATAATTTTGCAAGTGACCAATGACAAGGTAAGTATATTTACGAGTTCCATTTTTATTGAAAAAGCAGCTGTCAATGATATCAAAAAACCTGGACTATAATTTATCGTGGGGAATGGTTGTGTATAAAGTAGAAAAGTCGTAAGTTTTTAAGCTGTTTATTTTGGTAAAATGTTGTGATTTCAAATTTTCCAAAAATTCCTTGGAATTTTTAAGTATCCACATCTGATTTACACTACTTCTCGAATATATTGTTGCACAGTACTCTTGAAGTTTCTCCTTCACCACTGTTAATATCTTAGTGAGGAGTAAAGAAAGAGGCTTGGTTGAACATTTACTGGAACCCGCTATGTATCTTTGTTTGTAAGGAAGTAAATCAAAGCAAACTGTTGAGACTACCCTAAAATTTTAAATGAAATGTTTTTTTTTCTTCTTTCGATGAAACTGTATAGTGGATATAGTTTTTGCCATGTCCATCCGTCTGTCTGTCTGCCTGTTTGTCTGCAAATACTTTAACCTTGTCCATAACTTTTGATTGGTTAGAGCTATGGCTTTAATATTTCACGTGTATTCCTTTTGACAAGATCTTTCTTTGGGTACCAACATATTTGACCTCCTGACCTTGGTCATGGATAAGGGTGCAACGATAAACCGTTTGACGGTATATCGCGGTATATTTTTCCACGGTTCAATTCATGATACGCTAAACTGATATCGCGGTTCGGTTCAATCGGTCCAGAATTATCCGTTTTGTCCGTTTTATTTCCTTGTTTACTATTTAAAAATGGCTTCCTTGCAAAACGTGAGGTCGCCGATAACGCATTTACGGCAGTTAAACTCATCTCCAGCATCTTACAGACCTCAGATTTAACACGAAGAGGGACTTAATGGGATTATAAGTTATAGATGTTTAGACAAATGATTAACCCTTTAGATCTAAACGTTTTCTTTGGTAATACACGATATTCCATCACGTGTGTATTTCGATGAAAATTCGCTGTCTTGTTGACTAAAACGTATTAACACGAGAAATATGACAACTGGTTTTCTACGTAAATAAAAGGAATAAAAGAATGGATGTCTTCCTTTTTCATTCCAATTTAAAAGGAAGATTATTAGGAAAGGTCCCCGTAGTTCCCTGTAAATGTTCATCATTGGTTTAGAATGTTGACACAACTCATAGATCTACCAAACAATCCAATTCAAGTTAACAAAATTTTATTTTAATTATTATAAAAAAAAAATATGAACATTTTGTATAACCCTGTCAAGTTTTAAAAAAAATATGATGACAAACTTGAAAGACTTTTTAACCTTGTTATGTATCGTGATACGTATCGTATCGTGAACTGAATACCGTGATACGTATTGTATACGTGAGGTTAGTGTATCGTTGCACCCCTAGTCATGGAATTTGACCCACTTTTGCAAAATTTTACGAAACTTTAACCTTGGCCATAACATTTGAACAGTTGATGATAGGGCTTTTATACTTTACATCTGTATAACATGTATTTCTTGTAATAAGACCTTTCCTTGGATTAAAATATTTCTTACCTTTTGACCTTGACCTGGGCGTTTGACCCAGTTTTAAAAACTTTTAAGCTTGGCAATAACTTAACGAGGATTGTCAGCAAGAGGTAATCAAGAAGTAAGTTGAAGAGATTGCTGACAATCCTCGACTGCTGGAGCTTTCATATTTCACAGATGTATTCATTGTCTTAAGACCTTCCATTGGATACCAATAATTTTGACCCTTTGACCTTGGAGTTTTACCTGCTTTTGAAAAACTTTAATCTTCGAATTCGTCATCACTTTTGAACAGTGCTTTCATAAAAGACATGTGTATCTTCCCTTGCGTACCAACAATTTTGACCCTTAGACCTTGACATTGGAGTTTGATTCTTGAGACGATGAGAAAGAGAATGGGGAAATTTGGCTCTAGTGTGAGATTTCCCCTCGGAGGGAAATCCTACTCTAGAGTAAAAAGATTCTGGGGGAAAGCTGACTATGGGGGAAATCCTACTTTACAACACCTGTAGTATTTAATTTTAGCAGAAAAAAATTTCTGTTGAAAAATATTTTTGAACCGTATTTGTTTAATTATTATTTTTCCTTCTTAATTAAAGAAATATTTTTCAATTTTTGTTCGGGGAGATATTTTTTTAAACTCCCGAATATATGCGATAGGATTCGATCGATGATTTTGCAGTGACGGGGAAAGATGATGAATTGATAAATGGCATTGTTCACTTTTTTTACCTGACCAAAACCTGCTTTGTGATTAAGGAGGAATGACACACCCAAATTTTATTTGATATATTTTTAAGAAACCCTTCTAAGCCATGGTGTCATCATTGAAATACCGATACAAACTCTTAATAATTATGAATTTTTTGTCATTTTTTCAGAGAACATGTTAAAAAATGTTTTATTTGCAAATAAGATCTCTTGCGTTTAAAATAGGCTATAAATAAGTGAAAATTATGAATATATGAGAAAGGACGTCAAGAAAAGTCAGAGAGACGTTTTATTTTTATATATGAAATATTATTTTATGAAAATAAAATGCATTTATTGGGAGTATGTTTTAAACATATATCTGATAACATCTTCAAGAAACAAGCCTCAACTAGGAAGAATATGTTAGACAATCATACAATTTAATTAAAAAGAAATTGAAATGAAATTACGAATTTTTAGGGAAACTAATTATTTTAACATGACAATGACAATGACTTTATTCTCATAAAACTGGTTACAGTTGTAGAGAACAATAATTAAAACAAATTTAAATGACAATGCGCATTGCGTGGCAAAATTAACCAAGAGAGCGAACTCTCGAGATAATCTGCTTTCCATGGTGATCCTAATAGCCGTTTCCTTCAGTAAGCCTCTCCATTGTCTGTGGTACAAGTGGAACAACTTTAGGGTTTGCTTGCCTGTTTTCGCTGGTTAGCCCCTCCATTAACTGTGTGGTGATGATACAACATTGAAATTAGCTTGAGTTCTGTATCGTGGTGTTCTTCCATAGGTTGACATACTGCTAGTACTTTCCATTTGAATTCCTTTATTATCACCTACTTTCATGATAAAGGCAGTGATTTCGTCTGCTTCTACTCCTTTTCCATCTACCACTAATTTGGTTGGTATTTCCACTCTTTTCCCGTCTATGATTAATTTATCCAT